ATCAACCTTCCGCGCACTAATTACCATCGTGGACTTCAGGTAAATGCGCTCTCATCTTTTACTACTGGAAAGAAGGTTTAAAATTGCTTGGTGTAACTAATAATTGAAATGTACTGCAGGCAAGGAAAAACATTGTCAGTCTGCTGAGAAAACTTATAGAGGGGAGAAGAGCTTCTGGAAAGACGAGCTGTGATATGCTTGGCTTTCTTATGAATGATGAAGTAAACAAGTACAAACTAACGGATGAGCAGATGATTGATCTGATCATAACCATTTTGTACTCTGGCTACGAAACTGTTTCAACGACTTCAATGATGGCTGTCAAATATCTCCACGATCACCCAAAAGTTCTTGAAGAAGTCAGAGTGAGTCTGTGTTTTTACTCGTTTACCATGCTTAAATAAATCAGTACTAGTTAATTCTTTTGCATCTTATTCTAACTTGAACTGGAAATCCCTATTACTGTAGAAGGAACATATGGCAATTAGAGAGAGGAAAAGGCCGGAGGACCCTATTGATTTTGATGACTACAAGTCAATGCGCTTCACACGTGCAGTAAGTATCCAAAATGATAGACGCATGAGAAAGTTTAGGTGGAAGGATGTTCAAGCTGTTGACACTTGGTTCTTATTAGTATTTTCCTGATTCAGGTGATCTATGAGACCTCCAGATTAGCTACTATTGTGAATGGAGTCTTGAGGAAAACTACTGAAGACATGCAACTGAATGGTGGGTTTATTACCATGAGCTGTATATTTATTTGATTAGCTTCATAATCTGCCTGCAGGGGGTGGGGGGCTAAAGTAGCAACTTTATATTTCCTTCTTCCTTTCGATACTGAAATGAAAAGAAAAAGGAGCGTATAGACTATAATGCCTAAACGTACAAGGGATGATGCATCATGTATGAGATATCAAAAGGACCCTACCCTATCATAATCCACATGCTGCACCTACCATTCCAGCTGAGACATTCCCTATCTCTTGTCCAACTGAATTATTTTAATCAAACTACTTTTGATGATAAAGAGAAGATGCAACTCGATTCTCTCTCAGACTCTCACTGGATAGAGCAAATATGATCTTCATAAAATAATATATTCTTCAAGAGGAATTTAAACAAGAAAAAAGCTTAAGGCCCCCCCATCTGCAATGATTGTCGAAGCCTTGTTTTCCAGGCAGAATTCTACTTTAAGAATATATCGTTCTGCTTTCACTACAAGAAAGAAATGCCAATCACCTTACTTATATGTATTTTGTTTACTTTTCAGGGTTCATTATTCCTAAAGGCTGGAGAATATATGTCTACACTAGGGAGATTAATTATGACCCGTGCCTCTATCCTGATCCGTTAAAATTTAATCCCTGGAGATGGCTGGTTCGTATTCATAATCAACTCTGTGTTTGTGCAATATTAGAGGGTGGAATTAATGTGTTTATTGGAGGCTGGCTAACAAAACTCCTACCTACCTGATAAAAAACAGGATAAAAACCTGGAGAACAAAAATTACTTCTTAATATTCGGAGGAGGAACAAGGCAGTGCCCCGGAAAGGAGCTTGGAATTGCTGAAATTTCTGCTTTTCTTCATTATTTCGTAACAACATACAGGTGAACCATTTTTTTTTTTTTTTTTTTGGGTATTATATTATGTCTCTAATTCATGGCAGCGTGTTAAATTGTGTATTGTGTCTGGCATGATGCAGATGGGAAGAAGTTGGGGGAGATGAGCTGATGAAGTTCCCAAGAGTTGAAGCACCAAATGGACTACACCTTAAGATATCAAGTCATTGACAAACAACTTGAATGTACAGGAGGCGTAATGGTAATGATATAATTACAGTAGCAGCATATTAGAGTAACATTTGATGTACAAATCACCGATCTGTTAACACAGGACAAATTGAAACCTGTTTTTTGGCCGGCTCTTGAGACGTTCTACATGTGAGACATGTCAATTATTTCTAGCAGACAGAAACTAATCGATTTCATGTGGGCACCACGAATTATCCTTCCAAAATTCCATTCCTAAAGCCCCTTCTCACAAGCTTACAACATATCATTTAAGCAAAAAGTTTAGTTGTTGAATTTAGAAGCATTTGTTCAAGATACAGGATGCATTTGTTCAAGATGCAGATCAACAACACCAACAAACAATCATGCATAATAATAAAAATATTAGTACCTTTGAACCACGCTGCAGGTAGCGGAGACTTGCAACGCCAAATGAATTTAAATCCCCTCTGCCCCTTCTGGGCTCGTACCAAATCAATGAACAACTTAACTTGGATCAATTAATTATAAGAAAGAATGACACAATAATACTTTGATTGCCGCTCCCACACCCCGTGCAAGGTGCCAATTGAAATTTGAGCGCCAAAGCCAACAGCAGGTTTATAGACTGGAATCTCAAAACTACTCCAATTTCCACACATACCAACGGCAACAAATTTTCTTTTTTTTTTTTGGGGGGTCGTAGGAGATTTTTTTTTGGTCCCTAAAACTTCTTCCCGGGAAAGTGAAGACCCTCACTGTCCGTCTGTTCACGTTGCCACCAACTAAACTGAATATTGGACACACAGCCACTTATTTTTTTCCATCCGCAGCATGTGCTTAAGAGAGAGAGAGAGAGAGAGAGAGAGGTGGGTTTTGATTGACCAACGATATGAGTTAGGAAGCCCACAAAAACAGTTTGGTAAGTGTGAATTTTGGGCTGGTCTCTCGATGACATTCACGGCAACACCGGAAGCTTTGTGATCCCAAGTTGATTAAAAGTTATAGCCTGTCTCTTGGCCCGGCCTCTCGTTGGTGATCTTTAGGTGGGCCCCCAATAATCGTTAGCTAAGGGCTCTTACAACAGTAACAGATACAAAAGGCCACATTTTTTTTCTTTTTCGGCGAAGTATCAAACAGGAGTAGGTTGTAGACAGGGCTAATCGAATCAAAGATCCGAGTATCTAAATTTGTTCGATTATTTGAATGAATTTAAAAATTTGTTCAAGTTTGATTTGTTTATTTAACGAACTGAATTCAAACGAACTTTCGTGAGATCGAGATTTTCATGGATTCTAGTTTAATAAATCAGCAGATTTCTTTTAAGTTCACTTAGTATCCCTATAGAAGTGTATTGTGTGTTCTTGTAATTAGCAGAATTTGGGTTAATTAGAAATAGCAATAATTTATTCCCATTGTGTCAAATTCCGGATCTCATCTGCCCACTAGTCTACTACACCAATACGCCTTGAACTAGTCTTCGGAGAAACCAAATAAAGTAAACCAATGCTTCTGGAAGGAAGATCCATTGTTGCACTTCCAAGTGATTGATATTTTCTATTTTGAGCTAGGAATCAATTACTGTTTTTTTAGCATAAATCGAGGGTCTCGGAATCCAAATCTCTCACTTATACTTTTTTCTTTCCCCTACTGCTCAACCCATCATTTCCGCCGAGGAATCAACTTAACGGTTACCATCCCAAAACAATCAAATCCCACACCAAAAGAGGCCACAATTCATGGCCTAAACTAATCCGATTAACTCCAAATATCACACAAATTTCCTTTTTCTCCAAGCATATTTTCTTAATTTCTCCATGAAATCAACATTTTGGGTACATATTTTGTGGGAATGCCTTCAGTTGGCTGTTTGTGGTTAGAAAATTGCAAAGTTGCCACAAGCATAGAACAAAATTTTTACTCTATTTTTTTTTTCAAAAGCAAAACATGGGTGGATTTCACCTCCGTGAAAGTATGCCTCTAGCATTACATGTTGGCAACGGAATTCAAATACGCAATCTTTATTGAAGAAAATTACTAATTAAATCAACTTGTGTTTGGCAAATTTTTGCTCTGTTAGAAAGAAAATAATTTACTCGAAAAAACAAGATCATCAATCAGAATATACAAAAACAAAAGGTATAATTTCAAAAACCTCCTTTGAGATTTCTGATTATTTTACTTAGTTCCCTTGAAGTTATAAAACTTACACTAACCTCGCTTGATTTGACACTTTTGTAACCAAACCTTAAAATAAGATCAATAATTTAATGAATATCCTAAAATACCCTTATCTTATAAAGTTGAATTCGTTCTTCTAAACAATTGTAAAGTAATTTGGCACAATTATAAAAAAAAAGGAGTCACAAAATTTTCATGGCAATATTTGTTATGTAATAATCAACTATAACAATAAATCTTTTGCTATAATAGGTTTTCTTGTAGTGTTTTATTGGGAATATAAATTCCTTCAAGATGGAGAAGAAAGTGTTATCTTGCCTTTTTTTTTTTTAAAGTTTATGGACTTTTTTTTAACAAAAGTTTATGGACTAGTTTAGTGATGAAACTATCATAGTTTCGTAGTGATTTTGGGCCATTTGTTTTTAATTATTGTTGACTTATTCTTGATTTTGATACAAAAAAAGTGTTACAAAAAAATTGGATGCTATTAAAAGTCATAGAAAAATATTACTAATTTAGCTTTTGATTTGAATAGATATTAGCGACAACATTGATCGTTCTTCTATATTTCTAATGAAATATAAGAGAAATGAGTAAGAAGGAAAAAGAAAAAAAATTATAAAATCCATCATTTGTATTAACATGGAAACAAGAGAATTTAATTAAAATATTAAGGTTAGTATTGCTATTTTAAATGAAAAAGGGAGGTAAGTGTAATTTTTGAAATCTTAAGAGAGCCAAATAAAATTTTCAAAAATCTCAGAGGAGGTTTCTGAAATTATCCCAAAAAAAAAAAAAAAAACAAAAATAGGGCGCACCGGCTGGAACTGCCCCTTTGAAGCAGTCCCTAGCCATATAATGCCCCTTTGACTTTGGACACCCTACTGCCCTACACGTGCCGAACCCACCGCACTCGCTGCTGCCATTTTGCCCACTTGCATCTTAAACGAGTTCCCGCATCCGCATGCAAAGCAACCCTCCAGCTCCGTACCACCAACAAGCAACAATGCCTATATAAACTCCCCACCAAATCAATCCTGCTCTCCTCAGCTCTTCTCTTCCATATCCAAGCCCCGGAAACCCCCCAAAAAAAATAGAAGCATTTTCATCTCTCACTCAAACAAGCAAGAAGATCATGGCTTCGTCAAGCCCTCCTCTGAAAGATGAGCTCGACATTGTGATACCAACCATCAGAAACCTTGATTTCTTGGAGATGTGGAGGCCCTTCTTCCAGCCCTACCACCTCATCATCGTCCAAGATGGTGATCCTTCCAGAACCATCAAGGTCCCTGATGGCTTCGACTACGATCTCTATAATCGTAACGACATTAACAAAATGTTGGGCCCCAGGGCTAGTTGCATCTCCTTCAAGGACTCTGCTTGCCGCTGCTTTGGTTACATGGTTTCCAAGAAGAAGTACATCTATACCATTGATGATGATTGCTTTGTGAGTTCCCCATTTGCCCCTTGGCCCTTCCTTCGTTTTTCTTCTTCTGATGCAACACTGTTTATCAGTACTAATTGACGTAAAGTTTATGATGATGATTGCTTTGTGAGTTCCCCATTTGCCCCTTGGCCCTTCCTTCGTTTTTCTTCTTCTGATGCAACACTGTTTATCAGTACTAATTGACGTAAAGTTTATGTGTTTAATGGATAATTCAGATTAGTGGATCATGATGTTTGGTTTGTTGCCGATAAACTTGTGAATAATTTCGATATACACCTTCAACAAAACTCATTAAGGACTATATGAGGGATAGTCAAGGACTATACGAGGCTATTGGACTATACATTTCCCAGTGAATCAGATTGATAGTATATTTGCTTGTATTGCATTCAATCTTATACCTAAATTTCTCTTACTCATGAAGACTATAATCCGACTGGATCTATGCAATTCTTAGACTATCTATCCATTCTCAAAATACTTAACACTCTCCCTCTCCCACTCATCTCACGACCACAATAAGTTACAATCGATCTTGTAACGAGAGGAGGAGGCTGATAAAAAAGCAGTAACTTTCATGACACTTAAATGCACTATATATTGAGTTTCAGCATCCACTTTTACGTCATAGGGTGGCTTGGTTATAGCTTGTTGCTATAGGTTGGCGCTGTAAATGGAGCCAATTGTTATTACGGCTGTATAGCTAACAGATTAATTTACCTATCAGAGGAGAAAAATGATTCCCGCCAAAGTGGTGCTTGACGTATCTAGATAAGCACGTAAACCTAGTTTTGTAAAATAAGACGGAATCATTCTGGTCTTTTGGTCCTTCATTTTCTATCTGTAGCATAACAAATGGTTCTTTTTCCTCTTAAAAGTGGGGTATTCATGTAGGTAAATGAGTATGCCTAGTTTCCCAAGAAAAATGCTAAATTGCCGGCGCCTGCCATCCACTATTCTGTTTAGAAGGGGAGACAACTTTTAAGACTTTTCCGCTGCGTGTGCACGGGGTCATGTTCTGGCAAGGCAAATTCACATGGTGCATCAATGAACTGCCTTCGCGCATCGCGTAGTGTCAAAAGAACTTTAGCACTCCAGTTAACAGAAAGTCGCCTTGATTCTTTACCTCTACTAATCCATTATGTTCGACAGTAACGATTGCTGAAACTGACCACAATTTTCGGGACTTGCCATGCAGGCCACACACTACTAATACTGACGTTTTAGGCACCTCATGATTTAATCTTGCATCTTAGTTGCTGTTAAAGAGCTAGTAATAATAAATATCTCTATCTCAAACTATTACGATCTTCACTGTTGGATACCTTTGATTGATTGAATGATCTTAGATCTTCAATTCTTTGCGCTTGTGAACATATTCAGTCAGTAGTAAAAATCAGGAGCTGATACAGATATTTCTTCGGGGGCTTATATTTTTTTCAAATGATCACCATTGATGTGCAGGTTGCAAAAGACCCTTCTGGCAAAGATATCAATGCGCTTGAACAGCACATTAAGAATATTCTCTCTCCATCGACTCCCTATTTCTTCAACACTTTGTATGATCCTTTCCAAGAAGGCAATGATTTTGTCCGGGGTTATCCATTCAGCCTTCGTGAGGGTGTGCCTACAGCCGTTTCCCATGGCCTTTGGCTTAATATTCCCGATTATGATGCTCCCACGCAGCTTGTGAAGCCTCTTGAGAGAAATACCAGGTCTCCATTTCTTTCGCAGATTAGCTCAGCAAGCTTCTAGTATTTAACAAACTTTTCAATCATTTGTCCATGCATTAATGCGTACAGAATTCTCAAGTATATATGTTTTAATTTTATTAGGTATGTCAACACGGTCATGACAATACCAAAGGGCACCCTCTTTCCCATGTGTGGAATGAATCTAGCATTTGATCGTGACCTCATTGGCCCAGCGATGTATTTTGGACTCATGGGAGAGGGTCAGCCAATTGGACGTTACGACGACATGTGGGCTGGCTGGTGTACCAAGGTGCTGTATCTGTCTTTCCTTCTCTTTTTCAAAATATTTTTATTGTATGCAGTAAAATCAAGAGAAAATGATCTACTCTGCACTTATTTTGTCTCCCTAACCTTTTAGGTGGTTGTTGATGTTTTCAGGTGATATGCGATCATTTGGGACTGGGAATCAAGACAGGGCTTCCCTACATCTGGCACAGCAAAGCTAGCAATCCTTTTGTGAACTTGAAGAAAGAGTATAATGGTATCTATTGGCAAGAAGAGATCATTCCGTTCTTCCAGTCAGCAACTCTTTCAAAGGATTCCACTACAGTCCAGAAGTGCTATGTAGAACTGTCAAAGCAAGTTAAGGAGAAGCTAGGAAAGATAGATCCCTACTTTACCAAACTTGCAGATGCCATGGTCACTTGGATTGAAGCTTGGGATGAGCTCAACCCGGCCACAGATACTGCCAAATTACCAAACGGCTCTGCTAAGTGAAAGTCATAGCAGCATTGACGACGGCCTTTAGTTTTTGCAATAGCTCAAAATTTAATACTTACTGCTTCTTTTTTCAAGTATGCAACCCTTTATACGTTCGGATAAGTCCGTGTATTAGTTCCTTTTTCATGGAACTAATGAACTGGTCCAATGTAACATCCGCGCAATATGCATATTTTAGAGTAGAGAAAAGAATAATAGTTGATGCAACTTCCAAGTTCCAACAGACCGCGGTTGAATCCTTATTGTTTCTTTCCACATGAAGGTAGAAACTTTGGCTTGGTTTTATACTGCACCCGTATTTTGAGAGCATGATTGAAGGATTATCTGCGATACTAATTTGTTTTTAAGTCCCGGACATGGAGAAAAGAACAAGAATATATGGAATTTAAACTCAGGTTGCATTACATACTCCAAAACCTTCGCAAACAGATTGGCATTGAACTATCGTCAATTTCTCCACTCTCTACGTGTATTGTGTAGTCAATCTGGGATCATTATTTGGCTACACAACCATCTGGAATAACTTCCTCTTTCCTCGGTAATTGGATAGCCTTTCTCCTTGTTTAAGCACATTGGTATGCCAGCTCAAGAATGTTTATAAGGTTAACTGGTAATAGCAGAAAAGCAATAGCTAAAAAGGCAGATCCTTGTTTAAGCACATTGGCATGCCCGCTGAAGAATGTTTATAAGGTTAACTGGTAATAGCGGAAACACAGTAGATAAAAAAGGCTGAGAGCAAAACGCCGTTGCCGGGGATCGAACCCGGGTCACCCGCGTGACAGACGGGAATACTCACCACTATACTACAACGACCTTGTTGATTTGCCTGCTGAAGAATGTTTATTAGGTTAACTGGTAATAGCGGAAACGCAGTAGATAAAAAGGCTGAGAGCAAAACGCCGTTGCCGGGGATCGAACCCGGGTCACCCGCGTGACAGGCGGGAATACTCACCACTATACTACAACGACCTTGTTGATGATGATTGGGATAATTGATTACAAATATTTTAAAACCAGCAAAAAAACAACATAACGAAAATTTAAAACAAAAATTTTTAACCAGCCAAAAAAAAAAAAAAAAAAACCGTAGAATTTGAGATAAAGAGCGTTCAAAATTTTTCTTTTCATTTTTGTATAAACAATATAACGCATTGATGCAATTCAAAGGTACACAGGATTCCTACTAGTCATGCAAATTGAAGACTTTGGCAAGGAATAGGTGGGATGGTTACCCCCTTTCATTCTGATTATATTCTACCGATCGTTTAGCAGACGAAGTACCAATGCGTTTAGTCAAATAAAAAGAGGCAACAATCCTTGGTTTTCAATGAAACCAAAAGAAAAATGGAGATTAAAATCTAACATAACCACCTCAGAGTCGCAACCGAAGTATTTCTTTTCCCTCGGATTGGAGCAAATGGAGATCAGAATCATTCACAGAGACTCGTACCACTTCACGATTTGAGATTAATATGTCGTATACAAGCCGTATATGTATGTATGTCTGCATGTATGTATCTTTGTGTGTGTGTGTGTGTAGACAAGGGGTGGAACTTGGAGATTACCATAATCCGCAGCTAACAAGAAGATGCGGAAGGAAAGGCCAAACATATTTGCCATTGGTTATTTACTCTTATGGACGGTTAACGCCGGTTGCTGCCACCTATGGCAATATTTTTAACTTCTTGCGCAATAAATTATATGACACTTAATACTCGTGGATTCAAGAAGACAAAAAGAACAAATGCAATACATACACAAGTAACTCACCGGAAAGAATTACTAAACCAACAAAAACTGGCATTGCTCCTTTAAAATCAGAGAATTCACAGAAACTATCCATCTATCCTTCGATTTCATATGGCACCTTTGACAAAATTATCCCCCCGGCAATACTGGTCTCTCTGCAATGGCAATGCATCACAACAAACTGATCACCAAGGTTGAAGATGCTTTTGCCCAATAACTGGGCCGCGAGGACTTCTTTAAATTTTATTAACTAGGTGTAAGATCTTCTGCCTTCTTACGCTTGGCTGCAGGTTCATCGCTGTCCTCCTCATGGTTGCTAGCACCATTCACTGCATCTACACCAAGAAGTGAGACGTGCTTGCTTGTGATCTGACGACCAGCCCTCAGCTTTGGTCCCCAATGCCTTTCAGGATTAGGAAGGAACCGTGCAACCTTCTTGGCCTGTGCCTTGCTTAAAGATGCCACGGCTCGTGCAAAATTAGCCTAAGTAAAATGTTTTAAATGAGTAAATGATTGTTATGGGAGAGTTAAGGCTTAAAAAATGTGGCCCAAAATCGTTGGCTCTTTGCATTAAAGGTCTCACTAACTCCGAACCTTAATGTACCTCTGTAACTAAAGAGAGATATAACCAACACGATAATGGAGATTGGGTGCCTGCACAAACATACCTGTAGAACACGTTCCTTTGCAAGGATCACACTTCCAGCTTGGTCTGGAGGTTGAGCCTTCACAGGATGGTTTTTGACCTACAGAACAACATGCCACTTCACTCACAAATACTTGCAGAATAACCGCATCGCAGAAAAATAACAGAAGCTGATGACATAGTATTTCACAATAAAAGAATGATATGACGTGACATAAAATGTATCGGGGGCCATAAAAAATGTCAACTTCGAAAATAACAGCTTTTCTCGGATTTCTCTTCAGATTGTTTTTACAACCACCAAAAACATAAAAATTAAAAAAACCTTCAAATTCAGGCCATCAGAACTTTATGAATTTGGAATAATTCAATGAGCAATGAAAATCAAGGAAGTGTGTTTTGTCACCATATTTCATAAAGAATTTCGTCGTGCAGTCTTACCCAACAACGCATTATGTCCCAAATGACATCCATTGGAGCATCTGTTTTCAGCCCAAGTGGATTGACATGAGTTCCTGATATACGATATCCAGCATTGATGACAGCAGATCGGAATATAACTGCTGAGGGGGAAGTGCACTTCAGCGTGGCACACAGATTATGCAAACTCAGAAACAGAGGAACATCAGACAATTCCTATAAAATGAGAATTATGAAAGTAAGAACATAACGGGGATAAACAAATAAAAAATAAATGGCAAAAATGTCTTATAATTCAAAATTCTTAGATTTTCACTCTTTAGCCCAAAATAATGGCAAGCCACAACCCCCTTAACGAAGGAAATAGAGAAGATGAAGGAAGGAATAAATGTCTGAAATGCATGCCCAATATTATCACTAGAAAAAACTATGTTAATGTCTAGCATGATAGAATGCCATTAATGCACTTAATGAATGAGAAATTCACAACTGAATTCTAAAGCGTAAAAAGCAATTTCAGCCTAAACCCAAGACAAACCTCTGAAATTGTTGTCAATACAGCTGAGATGCGACCATAAGCAGGATAGTGATCCTTCATGGATTTCACATCTTCAAGAATGCAAGTTACCCATTCTTGATCATGGATGGGAGCAGACCAGATTGGTCCGCCCATATTATATTTTTTGCCACAGTCACTGCACTCTTGGGGAACAACAGGCCCAAACCCAGGAAGATATCTCAAACTGGTATTCTGCAATAGAAAGGAAGCAAAGAAAACCACAATTATGGATCCAATACATGCCAAAAGCACATTTCGGTCATGAGCCTAAGTTCAAGAGACCTGGAAAATGAAAAGTAATCAACTGACGCAGGACTTCTTTCCAAACAACACGTAACGGACATACAAATGGAAGATATCTCAGATACAAGAGGTCTGGAATATGAAAAAGAATCTACTGATGCAGGACTTGTTTCCACAAGTGTAACATAAAGTTCCCTTAAGATATACTATTAAATACAAGCATTACCTTTTTTGGCCATTCAACATATGCAGTGGGCAAATATATGCCAAGTACAAACTAAGGACCAACCTTCCTCAAGTAAAATGTCAAATACAACTGAAAAACACAATTCATTTCCCACTTTACATAATATATATGGCTAGTATGAACACATATCAAAGCACCAAATCTAAGCCACGAAAACCAATAGGTGATCATGATGAATCAAAATATCATGACACAAGGGCATACCTTAGAGACGGTACGCCCAATTGCTTGAAGATGAAAAGAATCACAGCCAGTGCATTGATAAACATATGAGAGCTTTAAAGGAGTGTTTTTCATTGCACTTGCCGAACTGCAAGAGTCACTCAGAAGCTCAGTTGGGGGTAAAAATCAGAAGTACCTACTAGTCTAAATAAAAAATGTAAATGCATACATTACTATTCATGCTAACTCACTCTAATTGTCATCACAAGGGAGGAAGAAATATACTCACGTATATACACGGACAAAAACACGCACGTAGAAGTCCATCTGAACAGATAATACTGGAACAATGTACCTTTTATACCGATTTGCATGGCTCTGCATATCCAAAGTGGAAATAACTGCTTACAAGACCCAGGGAAAAAAAGAAAGAAATAGCAAATGACAGAAGGAACAATATTGCCTTTCCAACTCAATGCCTTGACTCAAAATGTTTGAGGTATTACTATTTTCCTTATCTAAAACGTTGGCAATTTGAAAAGGGAAAGGACAGTTTGGTTGTACAGCTGAACTTATTTCAAGCTATAGAAGAGCTTCACAGCCCACGAAATGTCAGACGTGAACTAACACAAAAGTTTTCTCCTTCATCTTCTATCTTCAGAAAGTTATTAAACTTGATACATTTTCATCAAGCAAAGGATGAGCAAGAAGTCACAACAACAGACCACCACAAAACTCAAACGTCTGAATAACGAATTTCCAATTCCTACAGCAAGAATTAGTGAAAACAGACTATCATCAAACGCAAAATTATTAAATTCCCTCTTCTTGAAGGCAAAACTCAAATTTCTTTGCAGAAAGTCAACAGCTTTTCTGGTTAAACAATAGGTACCTCAATGCTGGCAAGAAGGATCCTCAAAGCCATTTCATGGCAATACTTTCCTCTTAATGGATAGGAGCCATACCTAGTTCCAAGCAACAGCAAAAAAGCTTTTTATGACACTTGAATCATCTTAGGTGAGTCCATCACTAAATAATTGTGTTCAATCAGAGGCAATAATATGAATAAGTAATAAACCTTACTTGGAATAGCAAACCTCCCCATTACCCCCACAAAGTACTGCCATATCAGTTGCAGTACACATTAAGATGCCGCCATCAATGACTGATTGGACAGCAGAGTCCAGAAACACGGAGGGTGAGCCATAAGGATCAAGATCCACCTGAAACACCGACAAACAGGAAAAGATCATTAATTGGCTCAGAATGCGACTGCGATTAACAAGAAAACATGTTTCTTTCTTACTTTTCTTATCAAGATACAAACTACGGGCAAATTACTCACTCACAAACAAGTATCAAGCACAAAAGAC